CCCCCCCAGCTTTTCCTTCCTCTTCTGCCTCATGCTTTGATTCTTTAGTCTGTATTTTCTCCTAAATACCTTGGGGTGTACGAATATAATTTATGTGCAGCATGTCTCCTGTGACCTACAGATACCCTCCTGTATTTGTGGTGCATAGTTTACCTCATGCAAAGGCCCTGTGTTACTTCACTTCCTTTCTTCTTTTTCCACCTCCTTCCCCTCCGTTCAAAAATACCCTGAATAGATGAAAAAGTGTTATTAGTATCAACTGTCTTCAACGAATTTATTTGATGCTGGACTTCATTGTGTAAAAAAAAAAAGGCTTATAAATGCCAGTAAATACTTAATTTCAATACACACAAGCACACAAACTGCTTGAACTTTTATGCCAAGGGAACAAAGAAAACATACCAACTAAAAAAGGCAATTTAAAGGCAATTTCATTAGTGGAATAGATTTCAGAAATAGCTTTGTAGAGAGAAATTGGAAAAGCTGACATATAAATGTCAAGGCTTTCTGTATCATCCCATATTTCAGAATCCTTCCAAGGCTGTAAATCCAAAAGAGCTTTTCATTTTAAGCTCTTAAAAGGAAGGTAAGTCCTGATTGCTGGTGCTTGTTTTTCTGGTGATGGAAGAGGAGGGTTCTGAATGTATTTTTAGTTAACTTATAAACTTCTGCTTTAATAAGCTCGTGGCATTCAGCACACTGCAGTAAGACAAGCTCATCGCAAATATGAACCAAACTTCCATGATAAATATGGCAACATGGTCCTCGTCGGTGGAGCTGTAGTCTTTACTGCTGTTTGGGCATATGTAAGTTTTCCCTTTTTTCCATCTTAACAACTCTTCTGTAATTGTAGCTGTAATTGTACTAGATCTTGCCAAATATTTAAATATATATTAAAAAAGCAAAAAAATATAAGTGATTATGAATATTTATGGATGATATAAAAGAACTCAATTCTATTGATATTCTTGTACATCCCAAGTGCATTGTTTTGAAGGCAGATATTTTGGACTAGAAAACCAAAGTATTTCAGTATTACTCAGTATAAGTATTTCTTCTGTTTTATGAAAAGGTGAATGAGATATCATTCCAGTATAAGAAATATAAATGAGAATAATAAAATATAGCTTTTATCATAAGGCCTTTGAAGTTAGTAATCTTTTTTTTTCTCCTTTCACAGGTGTTAACACAAGCTGGTATAGAGTGGGGCTTGTCACCTGTTGGCAGAGTCACCCCAAAAGAATGGAAGGAGTAATTGTCAACATATGTTATGAACTGGTCTAAGATTTCACTGAAGACAGTGCTCATGCCATTAATGTAGTGGCATTTGTTTCCTGATAACCACTTGTATTGTGGCATTCCTTGATGTAATAAATGTATCTGGAAACCTGCCTGCCTCTCCAAAGCTTTGTGTTCGGTGTCCTGCAAAAGTGTATGAAAGCTCAAAATAATCATCTGGTATTTTGCACAGTACCTGTTGTTTCTTTTAAGGCTACTAATAGATACTGGACAAACTGTGAGGTGCAAGTCCAAAATATTGTGTCGTTCTCAACATGTCCACTCGGTTAGTGTGTGTGTGTGTGTGTGTGTATATATATAAATACCTTCAGGTATGCCTGCACTGCAGAGTTCAGTTCACTATAAATACCTCTGGTTGCTGCTGCTTTTCAAATTACAAAGTGCATTATTTAGCTTGAGGTGTCAGTTTATTCCAGAATGATATTTTTTTCCTTCTAAGTCATGCTATGATTAGCATGATTTCTCTCTGAGCTCTTGAGAATTGCATAGACCTGTATCTTTCCATTACCAGATGCTGATTAAAATCGGAATCCCCCCAATTCTTAGATGCCTCAAAGAAAGAGGCTGTTTCTCAGCAGGGCTCTTCCCCACAGTCCAGAGAAACCTGCGTTCCCTAATTAAAGCGCTGACGTACACGGCAGTAGGAGCTGGACGTGTCTCCTGCGCAGACTTCAAAGCCGTGGGTCACTGAGAGTCCTTGAAGCGCTGGCTATGGAGCCGCTGTGTTGGTAAGAGCCGCGTTGCCGCCGCCTCATCGCAAAGACTCGTTAGCTCATTAGCAGCAATTAGCACCGCTCCCCTGCGGACCACAGCGCGGGGGGGGGGCTGTCACATGACCGCCGCGGCGCTCTCGGTCACGTGCGCGCCAGCCACGTCACGTGAGCGGGGCGGAGCTGCGGGGCGGGGCCTTGGGATGGCGCCTGCAGCGGATGCGGCCGCCGGGCCCTGCGGTGGGTACGAGGCGGCGGGGAGGGCCCGGGCGGCTCTCGGGGCGGCAGCGAGGTGGGGGAGCACCCCCGCCCTCCTGGCGGCTTCTCACGGAGCGAAGTGGCCCTTGAGAACGAGACTCTGCCACCAAAAGTGCGGCGGGGCAGCGGGCGGGGGGCAGGCGGGGCCTGGGCTTCCTCCAAAACTCTCGGAAAGGGGCAAGTTTCGGTGCCCGCCGCCTTGAGGTAAAGCCTCGCGGAGAGGCGCGGGGGAAGCTCTGCTGCCCCGCGGCAGCCGCGCGTCCGCGCTGCGGGCACTGTGCGTAACTCGCGTTTCTTCACCGAAGCCCCCGGAATCCTTCCGCGCGGTCGCCACAGTCTGCGCTTCTAGGCTGAAACTCGCCGCGCCGCAGCCGCGAAGGCAAACGGGCCAGGAGGCAATCCTGTGTTTGGCCGTGAGAAGCTAGGGAGGCGTCTGAGGGAGATGCTGTGTGAGCAAAGGCTGCCTTGGT